CTACCCCTTTTTTACCAGGTTTGCAAACAGCACTCTCAGCAAATGCTGCCCCCCCAACACGCCACAGGAAAGGTGACTTTAGCACAATTACTCACACTGCCCTGCTCTGCCTTGCAAATGGCTTTCGACCCGGCACCTCCTGCTGTCACCTCTCTGTTCATGCCCCACGCTGGGTCCCGTGCACCCCTCGGCCGCTCCCAGCCCCCGGCACGCAGCACCGGCGCTGCAGGGATCCGCAGAGCAGCAGCCCTGCCCCTTCCCTCTGCCTGGGGAAGCCTCTGCTGCAGAGCAGCGTTCCTCCAGCCTGCCGTCGCGGCGCGGGCTCCCTCTGACCGTGGCTGGTGGGCTCGGGTGTGTTTACAAGCCGGTCATTAAGACAACGAACGAGGCAGGCATTGGGGATTTAGCTGCGACACGTGAGGTTGCCCGTGATCATGCTGTGCGCACCGAAGCGCAGGCACCCGGCGCTGCTCGGCTCCCCGAGTCAATGACACAGCCCAAAACCACACGCGACACGTCAGACGGGGTTATTCCTGCTTTGCCATCACATACACCAGCACGAAAGTAACGGGGTCCATCAGGCCCACAGCACCCGCCAGTCCCCGATGTGCAGCACTGCCAGCATGTGCCCCTTCCCCAGCGAGCCGGCGGGCAGGCTCCCCACTGCGCCGTGGCTCCCAGCCAGGCACGGCTGAGCCACCGCCACGGCACCGCAGACCTGCCGGCGGCGCCAACCACCCCAGCACCCCACCTACCTGGCTCCGGTGCTCTAACGGAGATGCGCAGTCAGGAGGCAAAACAAATGAGATAAAAACCCCAGCTGCCAGCAGAGTTGGAGGCTCTGCAGGTTTCGGAAAGCGACGCCGGTGCCGAGCAGCTGCGATAGCCGGAGGCAAACACAGTGGGTGCTGGTTCCTACCCCATTCCTGCTCTGTCCCTGGGAAGAGGTGTCTGGCGGAGGAGGGGAAGCCGAGCCCTCCGCACCCCGGGATGCGGCAGCACCCAGGGATGCTGCAGAGCCGTCCCTGCCGCTCTCACATCCTGACTCGGCAAGTTTGGCTCCGCGGTGGCGTGCAGCCGTGGCGTGCAGCCCGGCTCCGGATCCTGCCGGTGCCTTAACCGTGTCAGCGCCACAGCCCAGCACCGGCAGCGTGCGTGGGCGAGCAAGCGGCTGCCACCCGGCGCCAGCCACCCCTGCGCAGCTCAGGCGAGAGGAGGCTCGTCCGGTGGCTGGGGGGAGCCTGGAGATGGACATTTCCATCACCGGATGCCTTTAAGTCACGCTGAGTGTTTTTCTTAAAAAATAAAATAAGGGTGTCCGCAGGCAATGCTGCAGGGCTGCCTCCCAGCACCGGGGCTCGCCCAGGCGCCGCATCCCACGGGGCAGCCACCCATCCTCCTCCAGGCGCGCCAATCGCGCCTTCTCGGCGGCTTTTGCTTTTTGGCCATCTTGGGCAAAAAGTCCACCCCGCAGCACATGGTTCAGAGACACCCCAGTAATTGGAGCACACTGGTCCCTGGTGGCAGCATGGCACTGTAATCCTGGAGTGATAACAGCACCGATCTGGCCAGCGGCTGGATTTAACATGAAAACCAGAGGCCAAGCCAGCAAAAAGGGGTCAGGGTTTCAGAAGTGCGCAGGAGCGCTTTTTTCATTTGTAAGTTAGGAAAAACCGGTCCCTCTCCATCCACCGAGTCCTGCTCAGCTTCACTGCGGCATCCTGCCACTTCTGCTGCCCTCCCGGCACGGTCCTGCCACCGACAGGGCCAGCAAGCACGCTGCACGCTCTGAACTGCGCTGGCACTGAAGGGGACCCTCTCGGCACCACCTGGGCGGGTGATCCCCGCAGGTCGCCCGCTTTCCACGCTGCGGCAGCTCCGCTAGCAGCGTGCAACAGTGCACGGAAGGCCGTAAACCCTGTGAGCGCTCCCCAGCACCAGCACGGCGGCGGCTTTGCTTCTCCAGCAGATGCTGGAAACCGCACGCTGAGGTTTTCTGCTCTCGCTCCACCGCGCGTCCGACCCGCACGCCGAGAGCGGGGAGGTGACGGCCAGCCCCACTGCCCTCCTCATAAAAATAACAATAATAATAAAAAATAATACAAAAAGCAGCTCTTGCGTATCTTCCATTAGCAGCTGCGAGCAGAGGCGTTTCTTGTTAACCAGCAGGAGAATCACTGCATATATGTAATATGTATATATATGCAATATATATTGGATACATATTGCCCAGCCTGCCTGCTCCGGCACTCACCCACCACGCAGCACCACGGCTCCCAGCAACGCTTTTGGAAGAAACCTGTTGTTTCTGGAAAGCTGGCTCGATGCCCTGCCCATGCAAAGCCTGTTGTTTCTGCTGGCTCGATGCCCTGCCCATGCAAAGCCGGCAGCGACCTGGTCTCGCCTCCCAGCGGCGCGGAGCATGGGCTCTGCTCTTCTACCGAGAGGCTCTCACCGGGACGAGAGCCCGAGGCGCCCGTGTGAACAGTCCCAGGACGCCTGCGTTAACCACAACGGCACGGGGTCCCGGCCGCTGGCTGAGCGGGCACGGGACCGACGGGGCTCCCCCATCACAAGGAAAACAGCCTTAAAAAGTAGAGGCTGGAGAAGGGCTCGCGAGCCAAAGAAACCCACGGGTTTAGGACACAGTTGAAGGAAAGCCCAAGGGGAGCGCTGGCGGCGGCTGGGTTGCAGGACAGGGAATCCTCCGCAGCACACGGGAGAAAGGTCCTCCTTTCCAACGACCCTACGTGTCATTTCGGTTAATGAAGCCACTGACTTCTGTAGAAAACGTGACGGTTTTGTCTCCGCCATGTGCAGAGCGGCTCTGATGACAAAACAGGGGAAGGTGTTTTGGGAAAAAACAACATTTACATTCTCCTGCGGGTTTGGCAGCACGTCGCGTTATCGGGGTATAAGCGCCTGCCTCTCCCCGGTGCAACGTCAACGGGCTGCAGGCCACCAGCAACCGGAGCATCGATTCGGGGTTACCTTGCCTTGCCGGGGAATAAAAAAAGGGTGGACAAAACCCATCCTCCCCGCTCAGAGCGGGGCTTCTTGCGCGGGGAGAGGGACCTGCTCAGCAGAGAGCTGGCGGCAGGGCGAGGGGCCCCGCTCTCCCC